AATCCTATTAGAAATAAGAATCAGACCTTATTTCAGAGAAAAATTGAAGAAAATAGATTATTTAAACGTTTTTCATGACACATTTTCTGCAGAGAAATTAAAAATTCTTGTTTTTAAAAGCATTTAGAGGCAATTAATAAATATTTTCGCGTTTTTATCATTTTCTATGAGACTGAAAACCATGAAAAATGGGATGAATTTCTCATATTTGTGAAGTTAAATTGAATTTTACAACACTTTCACTTCCCAACACTACCAAACACTTCCGAAAAAGTGTACACCACTTCCAACCATATTATCCCCCTCTTGGCACACGCGGTTGAAAGCCAAAACCAGAATTGTGGCGCTCAGAAGCCGCAAATCGACAAATGCACCTCAATTGCCACCCTAAACCCATCAGATCATCACTCACGTGCCCCCAGCGATCGCCACCGACCTCACCCTGTCTCGCCTTAGACATCGCGAGATTGGATTTCAATTAATTTCCAAGCTCTTAATGAAGCCTATGCACACAAGGTGAGCGGCCAAAAGGCACGCCGAGTGAGCCTTTAATTGATTTCAATTCAGCCTCTGTTTGGTGTCTTGTTTTATTGATTGGATTTCTCACACAGCCACGGAAAAAGTCATACATTTAACACAATATTCAGTGGCTCGCGAGAATGTGTTTTATAATCATTTCGTGTTTCTGCACAAAGTCTGGCAGGGCAATTTAAATGAAAATCTCAATCGACAATTGGCTAAAGAGATCCTTCAGACAATCATTAGCGATGGCTCATCAATTATTGGGCTGATCGATTTTAGATCTTCTGTATTTTCCCGGCCAATTTTCTCAATCACATGAGGCAAAACCATATCGATTTAATGAGATGATTCTGAGAAGCTCAAAGTCGGAATCGACATCAGAAATTCCTCATCTCGCCGCCTAATCGCAGTGGATCATTTGCCGAGAGCTGCGGACAATCGGGCAGGAATCCCTGGGCCAGAGAGGACACTCCGGCGGCAGATCTTGAGGCCAGGAGCGTTAGACGGGGGAGAATGTGTATAATTGCCGTCAAGAGGTGCACCGCGAGTTGGGGAATCGTGACGCTGTGAGGAAGTTATCACTTGTGGCAATCTCGGGTGTCTGCCTGAGCTTTTGACGTGCAGCCTCCGGAGTCTCGGGGAGCGACAGAGTTTAAATGTTAATTTAAATGGTAAATCTTAATTAATTGCCACTCAATAGAGTAAATAATTGTGCACGAGATGCAAATATGCATGTCCCTGACCCGCTGCTGTGGGTGGAGTTCCACCAGCATCAGAAGGTCAGCGCTGAGCATTTGCATTGACCCTTCGAGGACCACAAGAACTGGATGAGTTTTCCTTGAATTAGTAGAATTTAGACACACTTTTTGTCTCACTGTTTCAAAAATTAGAATGAAATTGCAGAAAAAGAAGCTGATTTTCCAATTTGTAAAGAAGTTTAATGATCTCAATTAAATATTTTCATTGTAGATTTCTACTTTTAAATAATAAAAATTGAATAAAAATAATAAAACAGGATTTTTTTTTTCAAGTAAAATTGCAAAATAATTGAAATTGAATGTTTTTGACCGAATTTCTAAATAAATTAATTATATTTAAATATTTTCTATTTATTTCCTATTCAAAAGTCCCAAAATTTTCTACAAATTGAGTCTGAACACTTAAAATTAGGAGGAAATACAATCGAAAGTTCAGCATGCCTTAAAACTTTTCAAAAAAAAAAAGCTTGAATAAAAAAAAAGAAAATATTGAGAAATTTTTTTATAATAAATTGAAATAATTATTATCTTCCAAATAAATTTGAAAAATCAATAATTATTGAATATTTCTGACCAAATATCTTCATATTTTGTCATCAAAAACACTTAAAATTAGGAGGAAATACAATCTCAACTTCAACATGCCTTTAAGGTTAAAATTGCTGCTCTCTGGTAATTTCTTTCTCGCATTTTTAATATTTCCATTATTAATTTGTACACTTTCTCAGGATTTGACTGCAAGAGAATTATTTTCTGTCCCATAAATATATAATACGATTCATTAAAGCTAATCACGAGAGGAGACTTGATGGGTTAATTGAGAGGGAATCATTGGAGAGCTATTCTGCAGAATTGACCATATCAATATTTGTGCGTGTCTCTTTGCTCTCCTCCATTTTCCACTTCATCGAACCATTTCGGAGTGTAATTATTATTGTTCTCCACCGCAGGGCTAATTGAGCTCTGCTGATTCGGGAATCTTGCCGGGAAATTCAATCCCATTTCGAGATTGCTCCCCAATCAATGATGCCCGTCATAAAAGTCCCTGAGATTCGGTGTGACATCCAGGCTAATCAAATAAGTGCAATTAAATTTTCAATTAGACTTCTTCTTGGCTTCTCTCTCGACCTTCTGGCGCGCTCGCGGACATTAATTTCTCGCAATCCTTTCTGGGCTGCACTAGTGACACTATCGAAGCCACTGAATTTATTCATTACCCTCGTGGAAATTGCACACAATTATCGCATGCTGCAGAGACGCCGAGTGCGATCTCTGTGTGATCCACGCATATGCAGATCTGCAGCTCCTCTCTCAAATTAAATTACAAGAAGTCCCACACACACTCGCGAGGATCAATAGTGAAGAAGTTATCTTGATCGATTCAAGTGGGAAACACTCGCGAGCGACAATCGTTTTGCCTCTTGCAAAAGTCAAATTGATCGGTGAGCTTCGATACGCTAAATCGCATAATTAACTCAATCGCCGCAGTTTGAGACAGAGAAGCTGAGACTCTTATCAAGATTGCTGCGCATTGATATAATTGCATGGAAATTAATGGGAGAGTGTTTCTAGGAAATCATGCGAAGGATTTCACCCGAAATCCGCGTGCAAAATTTCAATCACACTCAATTTAATTGTCTCACGCCGTTAATATTTAATTCAATTCGTCGCTGGTAAACTTTCTCACCTGTGCTCAAGATGCTCAAGACGCTCAAGACTTGAGAGAGGATTTTGTCTGGAAATAATCAACGGAAATCGTTAATGTATCGCCAGAAAATTTAATTGGACTTAAAGAGGAGGAAATTCCAAGAAGCCGGAAAGCTCAGAAGAAATTTAATATGTTAATCACTTTCGGTGGAAATTTAATTATTCCGCGGTGCATTTCACTCGCGATCGGCGCAGATCCGCGCGCACGATCAATTGGATGTTAATTAATCAATATAATTTGGGCACGGCGAGCAAAAAGTTCACACGCGGTTCTTAGAACTGGATTAGGCGTCTTTAGAAGCCCGCCAAAATCCAGTGAACCTTCTTCGCCTCCACTCAGCAACTCGTTGAGACTTGAAATTTGAACCGAACAATTCTTCCGTGCAACCATTAGTCTTGCTCATGCGATAATTAATTACTCAAATATCCCGCACGGTGGTGTACATTTTTGTAACTGGCCTTTTTTTCCATGCCACAGCTCACGAAGAGAGGTTCTATTGATGATTCTCGGGGCTGCTTAAATCTGATTCGCAATTAATTGATTAAAATCAATCAATCAATGTATTACGGCAGTCTCGGGGCGATTACTCAATCTTAGGCGAGCCACTAACTTCCTTCTGTGAAGCATTCAAATGACCTCTGAAATGGGCTTGAGCGATTTCAAAGAGCCTCTTTGTGTTGCCCATTTGCTGGCTCTGCTGGAGAGTTTTCTCCACGGTTTTCTCTCACGAGCAGCCACACGTGCAAGTGCCCTCCAATCCGCCTTCGAGAGCCTCTTCAGCATCAGGAATTTCGGGAACAATACAAGAACACATGGGAGAAAAGTGATTGTCCGCGGCGCAATCAATGCAAGAAATTTCTTCCCTGCAACACTCTGTCATGTGCCACAGCATCTTGCATCTCGACTGCATCGCGATGTGCGAAGATTCGATTCGTCGTAAATAAAAAAATATTTCAGAAAAGAAATACAGAATATTCCACTAAACTTGTGCTGAAAATTTTTATGTCCCTCAAAACAGTTTTGATCAAAACCCGCGTTAAATAATTTTTCCACGGCTGAATTTATCCATTTTCTTATAGAATCCTTTCTGATAATCTCTTTAACGAATTATTGTCCATCCTTGAATTTTGAATCTTCTCCTAAGAACTCCTTTTAAAGCCCAAAATGTCATTTTTTCACCTTGATTTCCACAAAATTCGCTTGGAAAGCGAAATAACGCTTTTTCGCGTCTTTTCCTTCAATTTTTCACACATTTTCACACTCTTTGACTTCCTGGCGTGATCCTGATCAAGAAAGAGAGGAATTTTAGAGCGAAAATAAAGCTGTTCTGCTTATCGGAACTTCTTCTAACCTTTCTAACTAATTTAGCTAGACGATTTCGAGAACAAAATATGGAATATCCCGAAATATGTTGAACAATAACCAAGAAAAGACTTTTTAAAGTAAAATTCAAAATTATAACTCTCATTTTTCACAGGAAAAACATTCTAAACTCACCATAATCACTAATTTGGGATAAACATTGATGGAATGGCACTTAATTTAACTCTTAAACTTATATTTATCCGCTTTTCGGTAAATTCTACACTGAAATATCTTTAATCTCTTTAATTAAATCCAAAACATTCGGGAATATTAACAATTTTTGTAAATTCTCGCAATTTCACTTACCTCTCAACTCACCTCATAAATTTCTCTTATCACACAGAACTCTTTGGCTGCCATTGAGCAACAGAGACAAGCAGAAGAAGCCTCTGAAGTGGAGACATCTTGATTGATGTCTCGAGATGTCTGTTTCTAATGTGATTCCAACACCAAAAAGTGTTTAGCAAATAAATCTCAAGTGGATCCACGTGGGAGGCTCATAAATCATAAAAAGCCAAGAGTGGAAAATCACTAAATCTCCAAAAGAAGATCCCAAAAACAAGCGGCAAACAGCAACGGCGATGAAAGGTAACAATGATGCCTTGAGACGAAGACAGAGAGTCAACACAAATAAGACACGGTATTAATTATTTTTCTATCTCTTCTGTATTTTCTCATCACTCCTTTTCATTACAATATTTCTCCTCTGTGACACTCGCAATGTTTTGTTGAAATTACAGAAAATGTCCACTGTTTTCTTGTCACTTTAACTTATTACACCCCAATAATTAATATCTTTCTCTCTACTGTCGCAATTTCTCACTATTTACAGTCTTACGTCGTAGTTTAATCTTCAAATGCAATCTCTTAATCGATCTTCCACTGTTTACGAATAATTTTTTCTTTAATATCTATAAGATAATTTATATAAGATTAATTAATTAATAATATCCTTTTTTTAATTTCTTACACTGTATTAATACCTCTTTTTGTAAGCTTTTTTTCTGTGTTTTTTCTTTCTTCTTCTTAATTGTTACCTAGGAAAAAGTATTTTTTCTTTCTTCTTATTTTTTACAAATATTAAGACTGTGAAACAATTTTATTCCTCTTTAACATAAATGATTATATTTCTCGTCTTCACATGTGTTATCTTATATTTTTCTTTTTCTTAAAAAAGGACGAATTGTTTGCTTCCGAGCAAAAGAATGAAGAGAAATATTTTCACAAATATTATCGCTTCTGTAATTTTTCTTGCTCTGCAGTTGAAAAATAAGTTGTTGTGTGTGTTGGAAAAAAGTGTTTCTTAAGATGGAATGTCAGCCTACTTTAGTTGTACAATCTACAGTAAAATTCATCATGATTAATTTCTATATCTTTCACTCATTGTTGATTAAGCTCCGAAAAAAGAGATTTTCTCAAAATGAATTCGTATTGGATGGACTTGTTTTTGGCTTCTATAATGACGTTTGGGCTTGTCTGGGCAGAAGGGAAAATTGAGATGTCATGAAAAGTGCGGCTTATTTTAGAATCAGTTTCGTTGTGTCTGAAGATTTTTGTCTTCTTCTTTTGAGCAAAAACTTCTTCCATCCGATTCACCTCATTACGAATTTTCCATGCTCACAGAATTTTACAACAATAACAGAGATAGATAGACAAAGTTACAATACACTTTTCATCCCTTAGTAAAGCCAGTCGATTGTTTTGCTAATTTTAATTTATTGCTTTGGGCGCAAAAATCGTCTCTTGTAACAATTTTTATATAAAGAAAATTGAGTTTTGCAAACTTTCTTTTTTGACTTTTTTTCCTGCTTAACTTCTCTCTCTCTCTGTACAGATCTGTTGAGTTTTTCATGAGTGGGCGGGGGCGGGGGGAGGGAAAACCTTTGGGTGGTGAATGAGAAACAACACATTTTTTTTTTCGTCTTTACTCACACACACATTTTCTTTTCGAACAATGAAAAAGTTTCAATCAAGAAGTTTTTTTTTTCTCCTTTTTATCGTTAGAAGCGAAATATTTCTCTCTCAGTATGTTAAATAATTCATCAACTGTCTCACTTATGTTCTCTTATCTCAATATTTAATTTATTCTCTTATTCCACGCTCTTCATAAACTTTCCACCGTCCTTTTTTTCTTCACTCTTTTTGTGGACTAATTAGACTAGGAAGATTTTATACAGTTTTCTTTTTTTTACACACACGTTTACAATAACTTCTCCTTTTCTTTCCTCACTTCACACGCTTTTCTCCTTGATTTTCTTCTCCTTTTTTATGTTATGTACATTTTTCCTTCTCTAATTTTCTTTCGCCTCTAATCCCTAACCATTTGCTTTGCATCATTCTGTAATCTTCTGCGCAAATTACCATTAAAATGTTAGCTTTAAAGACCGAAATTTTTAACCATAAATTACATCCCTATTTTGTAACTTTATATGCAATACATTTTCTACATATTAAACGCGACAATCTCACCATCTTTACGCTGTGACACACAAAATATAGAATTTTGGCAAATTTTGGACAAATTCAAGGGGTAAATTTTCACTCAGGACATTCCGATAACTTCATTTTCCGATGGCAAATTTATCGGCCACTTCCGCACAAAGTAATTTCCTGGACTGAGCGCGGCCAATTCAATGTGAATTGGGCGCTTCTGTGGTGTGATATGTCGAAATGAGTGTGGGAGGATTAAGTGACAGTTTATCCGAGGATGAGTGAGAACAAAATTCTTCCATTTACTCCCCGCCAAAGAGGGCGCAAATTGATGAAAAATCACGAAAAGTCCAACTGTGCATTCATTTGTCTTTCTGTGTCTCTCTCTCGGTGAAATTTGGCTGAATTTATTGTTCTTGCGCTGGATAATCATTAATTTTCTCTCACGTTGAAGTATTTTTTTCTCTTCTTACTTCTTGTCCCACGATTGCTGCGCATCGTCTTGATACTTTTGATGATGCTGAGCTGCCGGTTCAACTGCGATTCTCTCTTGTCTTACGTTCCCTTTTCCTCAATCTCTCTTCTTTCTTTCATTCTTTCTTTTTTTCTCCTCATTTGAAACATGTCTTCGTCCCTCATAAGTCGAAATTCCCTCTGACGACAGCCAAGCCAGTGAATGACGATGTTTGTTTAATGGATTTTTATATATTTAGACAATTAATTATTTTTTGTTTGCACGTCAATCAACAGCCGGATTGTCGGTGAAATTCCCGTGCGCACAGGAGGAAAATGTGATTTTTCACCCAACAACTCATCCTTCTCCTCAAGCAAACCACCGACAAAAGTGCCAAGAAGTGTCTAAAGTCGCAATTGAAAAAAAACAATTTGTAATATCCGCTCATATTTTCATCCTTTTCTGATAGTTTTTCTACCAAATAATGCGCTCCAACTCGACTTAACAGATATTTTAACAAAGCCTCTGGATAATTCAACCTCTTTATCCAAGGATAAAGTATTGCCAAGGGAGAGATAATACAGCTTAAGAGGTGGAAGTGTTGGAAAAACTAACAATATTTAATTCAGAATCATCCAAATTCTCTGAATTTCATTCGATTTTCACGAAGAAAGGAACGAAATAATCTTTTTCTAGGTTATGTTACGAATTAAGGACAAAGTTAGTGAATAATTCAAACAATTACAGTGTTTTTTATCCTTTGATGCCTAAAAAACACTGCAAATTGTGCTAAGATTCAACATAACCTCAAAAATAGTCATTTGGACTTGAAAAATGCCCATTTAAACAACTTCTTGGATGATTTTGACTGTGAATCTAGGATTTGGTGATTTAGAAAACTTCCAAATGAAGTCTTTGAGGATTTCTTAGTTATATTTTTGAGGTTATGGCAGGAAAAGAGGCCCAAAAACAGCGATTTAAACACAATTCTTGCAGAAATATTGAATTCAGACTACAAATTTCATGTTCTAGAAGTGTTTTGAAGTGGTGTACAGCTTTAAGGCATATTATCTCCCCCTTGAGTATTGTAAAACAGTAACACTTGATGTGTTTTGACTGTCTTTTATCGCATAATCTCACTCATTTTGTGTGTATTTCTGCAGAACAATGTCTATGTTTTGTTAAAGATATTTTACGTCTGTCTCATTATCTGTTAAATTACGGTAAGAAGTACCCCTCAATTACTTCCTTATATTACACAAATCACTACTGTCTCTTGCATATTTATAGTTTATTTACTGATATTTTACTTAACACTAAACGCTTGCATGTCTTCACACATTCATTCGCGCATAAAATATATGTGTTTATAAAAGATTCAATTTTTCTCCTAAATGTCATTTTTTTCATTATTAATTTACTGAATTATCCACACTTATACCTCGTCAAAGTCACTTTCAGCAAAAGAAAAAACATAACTCACATTTATCTAAAAGGACTCTTTTTTTCTCGCTATTTGTCACAAACTGGAAACTGTCTAGCTTTTTCTTTTCTTTTTCTTTTCTCCTCGCGAATCCCGGAAGATGAGAGACAAAAACGGACACTTTCGCCCATGGACAATGAGTTTGATTGTTTTTTTTTCTTTATCCTAAAAGAGTCACTTGTCAGTCTGTCCCTTAATGCAAAATATCATTTATATATATATACTGAAGTACGCGAGTTTGATGCTTTCTAAGGAGGGGAAAAAAGAGAAGATTCTTTTATACACAAATTCGGAACTTTTGGTCTGTTTGATCATACAGCACGTCGCGGTGCTCCGCCATCTTTATCCAGGCTTGGCTGGATAATGGAGTGAAGGACGCCATGGAGCGTGTTAGACGTGGACAGTTTGAGTGGTGGCGGGCGGCGGGAGGAAATCTACACCCACCTCATTGTCGATCAGGGACTCCTTGTCGTCCCTTCGCGTCCGCCGCATGTTGGCCAGGAACACCGCCACGATTATCAGGAAGACCACAATGGCCGCCGACACGCCGAGCGTCACTTCTTTCTGGCTCTCGTACAGGCCCCAGAACGTGGCCGCCGCCCGATGGCCGCGCCTGTCGCTGAAGATGTCATTGTAGTCCTCCTCGTCGCTGTCGTCCAGATCCTCCTCCTCCTCCGAACTCCTGTGACTCGTGGTGTCCTGATTGTTGCGCGACGAGGACTCGATGCGCGTCGTGGACGACGGCGGAGCGCCTGTTGACGACGATTGCACCCTAATCATCACCAGAGCCTGGCTGGTGTCCAGCGTGAGTGGCAAGGAACGCGTCATGGCTTCGGTTTTCTGCAAAAAAACAACATCAATTGCATCAGTGTTAATTGGGCGTCCCCACAGACGGCGCTGCAGGCAGAGAGAAGGCCACACTCGAATCCAACCACCCAAAGAAGACAAAATACATTGGCGTTGCCGATGTGAAAAGGGGCAGAGCAAACATGTAGTGTTGATTTACGCAACAACGAAACGTGTCAAGTTATACATTCTCTCAATTAAATATTATTTACTCTAAACTAACAGAAAAGTCCCTCTCGGTCTTCGCTGCAGTCCGAGTTTCACACATCGACTTGTCGATTTGTTAAAGTAATCAATTGTTCCAATATTTGCCCATCTAACACTGCTGCTGCCATAATTTTATTTTTTATTTATCCATCTCATTCTTCACAACTTCTCACTCACGCTTTTTCACCACCTTTTTTACTAGTTTCTCTGCGTATTTTTGGATAGATTGGAATTGAGAAATTCGCAAGAGACAATTAACATCGCGGAGAGTCACACTATTATGGGTGAAATAAACTGATATATTGTATTGTCTTATATTGTGCCCAAGGGGAAAATCATTTGCAAGTTTAGACCTTTAACTTTGTGATTAATCAATCATTTTCTTTTGATTATTCGTGATTTGAATTCAAATTTTGATTATTTCATGCAAAATTCGGATAATTTTTTGATTATTTTCTAAATACTTAATCAAAATTTGAATATATTTGAATAATTGTGAATATTCGGATTCATTGAGAAAAAAATAATCATTTTTTTTAATTATTTTATTCAGAATTTGATTATTTTTCAATTTCAAGTGTGAAAATAATTATTTCATTGATTATTTTATTTTGAATTTGATTTTTATGATTTTATTGTAATTCTACTTGTGAAAATAATCTATTTTTAATTATTCTATTCTAAATTTTATTATTTTTCAATATTACTTGGAAAAATAATCTTTTTTTATTATTATTTTAATCAAAATTGAATTATTTTTCTATTTTTTTTGGGAAAAAATAATCATTTTTTGATTATTTTACTCAAATATTCTTGCAAATAATTGATTATTTGATTGGAAAACATTGTAAGTTGTCTCAGAAATCGCCTTGTGACTTGCCCCTTGATTGTCCCCCAATAAATAGGAGTTCTCCTTCCTCATGGCACAATATATCTTGTTTCTTCTGTCTCTTTTTAAGGCATCCGTCCAGCTTCCCTGGGCCTCGCTGTCCACTTCAAAATGTCTCGAATGTGTCGTAAATTAAGGGACAAACGAATATAAATTAACTGAAATGTCAATAAATTAAATCTCGCTTTAAATACCTTTCTTTGTCGTCTCAATATAACACTGGGGAACAAGGAGAATTTAATTTATTAATTGGTCTCTCTCTCTGTATTATATGCTGAGTATCAAAAGACTGTCCAATGCAGTAGTGGGAGATCTTTTGATGCTGATTTTATTCAATTAAATTTTCTCAATTTCACTCAAAGACTCTCCGTTCACTTTCTTGAGAAGCGACGCTGCCGACGAAGACCGCACTTGATTGGGTTTTCTGGACGGGGAGAGAGAGAGAGAGGGAAAAAGTCCTCCGCCAGTGTTCTTAATTAGACAGTCTCGCCCAAGAATTGGACTATAAAGTAAAATTATTATCTCGAGCCTTGTCACAGTCATAAAAACGCCGGATTCGGTCTGTTGAAGGCGAGGCTGCCGAATTTTGAAGCGTCATCGCAGGCCTTAAGAAAAGCATCTCTTTCTTCCCGCGATAAATATTTATTCTCATGATTAGTCAATTCGTCACGTTTGGGCGAAGAATCAATTCTTTCTGAGCTTTTCGTGCATATTTTTGACTCAATTTCACCTCAATTCACCGCGACAAGAGCATCTCTTGTGCGCCTCACGAGCCCATCAACCGCGGAGCGAATGAGAAAAAGGAGAAGAAGATCGCGCTTCACAACAAAAACAAACCATCTCTAAGCAATCTGACCCACACAACTTGCCATCCAAGAAGAGGCGAACGATAAAAAGAACACTCGAAAAATCACTCAATGTGTGGATTGTATCGGTTACTCAGCAACTTTCGGAGGTGTTGTTGACTGTGTCGATGTACAAATATATGACGTTTTTGCCATCATCCACAAGAATTCCATCTTCACTTCGTTCCTCCTTTTGCTCACAGCGTGACACTTAATTGCACACTAAAGTTGCACTCTAACTAGCCTTCTTTTTTCCCTCTTTTCCACGACGGGCATTGAAAAATTTTTTCAACACTTTAAGCTACAGTGAAAGAAGGTGTCGCAGAACAGCTCTTTGACGCTCTTCTCTCTCCCTGATAAATTTCTTCCGCTGACTTTTGTCACACTGTCACATCTTTCTTTCTCCTCAGAATCATCAAATTGACACTTTGAACTTCCTAATTGGAAATTATCAGCAGCACTGAAAAGTTAAAAATAACTTTCTTACACTCCAAGTGTGAATTCTGATGGGTGTTTTGGTTCACAAAACCGCATCAGTGCAGGAAGTGGACAAGAAAAGAACTTGTGGAAGCAAAAACTCCTGTGAAATTCCACAATCTCAGGTGATAATTGAGGGTCAATGATGTGCAGAGAGGCGAGATAGGGACAGAGCCAAGGAGGAGATAACACAGGTCAGCAGAAGTGTTTAGAAGTTAAGAATTTGGCGTTTAAGAGCTTACTTTCTTCAATAAGAATCTCATTGCTTTTCTAGGTTGTGTTAACTAACTTTAAGCAAAATTTAGTGACTAAATAACATCGGAAAACACCATTTTATGTACTCAAACGGTCAAAGTTGAATATTTGCGATCGTTAAATAGTGTTTATTGCGCTAAAATTGATCATAACCTCAAAAATGTAGTTTTAAAATGCAAATATATATATTTTAAGAGCTATTTGAATGATTTTCTCAGCTAAAATACCAAAATTTCAGCTCATTGTCGATTAGTCTTGCCTTTAAAACATTCCAAATAAGTTTCTTTCTAGGATTCTTTCAGATAATTCAGGGTAATTTTGAGGTTATGGGCAACAAAGCATCCAAAAGAATGATTTAGAATTTAAACACGTCAAAATATCCACTGGAAACTTAATATATTTCTTAAATACTGCTTCTCTGACAGTTTTTTCAGGGCCATACAAGTAAAAATTTGAGGTTATGATACATTAAGTGGATGGAAAAGTCTCTGGAGCTTCGAAAAACAGGGAAGAAAGTAAGGAAATGGCATGTTTTAGGCACTGCCAAAGTGCAGGAAGTGTCTGTGGAAGTATCAGGAAGTTTTGTACACTGTTTAGCTGTATTATCTCCCCCTTGGACAGAGCTGAGGGAGCTGAGGTACTTAGAGAGGTGAGCAGAAAGAGCCAAGAAATTATTCGTGGTGTGACACAACAATAGTTGAGAAGGTGATTACACGAGGGATATAATTGCAATTGTCACAGAGTTGGAGGATTTACAAGGAAGCACCTCTCATTACAGCACACGAGAGAGGTGCTGAGGAAGTCTCTGTGGCGTGAATTGCCCCTATTTTGGCACCAACATCCGCCAGCGAACAAGTGAGAAAAGTCCGGTGAGCAAGAAAAGTGCCAATTTTCTCCGGACAAAGCACGACAATCCAATTAAGCTGATAAGAAATTGAAGTGCAGTGGGAAATAGATACAAAAGTCAATTTAATGCACCTTTCTCGGGGTGTGAAGTTGCCACTGCAGCGCGGGCATAATCATAAAATTGCAGACAACGCGCGCGCGGAGTGGTGAAGAAATAGAGCCTGGAGGAGTCCGGCATTTGAGATCTCCGGCGTTTGAGAACAATGGGTGAGTGTTGGCGGAGAGTATAATGTGGTGTGGTTTACAGAAGAGCGCCCCATTCTTCTGTTGTCATCGGAGTCAGCTTGGAAAGAGATTACAGCACAAGAAAGGCGATGGTGAGGTGGCAACAGCCCAGCCAATTCACAATGACTGTGTCAAAAACATGATACTCTCATCTAGATTCTGTATTAGATAGCATTTCTTAATTTTCCTCTATTAGCCGAAGGAGATTCTCTTGTTGTTGCTGAAGTAACAATTTATAACAATAAATATGCCCACAAAAAAAGAATAACAAAACATGATTAATAAGAGATAATTCTTTTGAATACAACCTCTTCACACTCCCCATCGAATCACATGCAAATCACACGTGAAATTCTCACCTCGCTGGCTTATTTCGAATGAGTATCAATAACGTGAAAATGCCTTTGTCAGTACAATCTTAATGACTGTGCCAAATATTTGCAGGGCTGCTCTGAGGGGCGGACAATTGATGAGTTTTCTGCCCCTCAATCAGCATTGAGAAGATCAACAAGTCTGCCAAGAGATAATCTGGTCAAAAGTGGTGTACAGATCAGTGGAAGTTGAACCCTTGATTTTCTAAAGATTAATTCGCTCTCAGAAATGAATTTTCATACAAATCCGTATTTTGACGTATTTTTGTAGGTTATGTGACTAATAAAAGACTAAATAACATCTTTTAAAAGAAATTCTTGTGTCTAAATTGAAAGTAATTTCATTTTATTAGTAAAAAAATGCAGCTTTAGTCGAAAAAATGATTAAATATCATAAAAATGCGAGTTTACACGTTGTCAGTCAGATTTGTGTCAGTTTTCGGTTAGATTTCAGTTAGATTTGAGTCATTTTTTGGTTATGCGACTGATTTACAACTAAAAAACATCTTAAAGTACAAATTCTTGAGCCTAAATTTGGAATATTTTAACTTTATTGGTTGAATTGCGTATTGAAAATCGTGATTTTAGGAAACAACGCTAAAGATAAACATAACCTCAATTTTTTTTATTAAATATACTGTCACGATTTTGAGGTTTAACTAAAAAAGAAATTAATTAAAGGAAAAAATCACAAAATATTGTATGAAAACATAAGTTTTGAAGTTGTTTATTAGATTTGAGTTAATTTTCGGTAATATTTTAGTCAGATTCCAGTCATCGATTGATTTTAGTCTTGTTATTGTCTTCCCCTTGGCTCTT